GAGAACGTCTGGAGCTGTTGCTTGCAGTTCCGCACGGGTTAACCAACGGTCAGTTCGATGTGTGCAGTAGGCAAAATGCACCAAATACTCAGTTGGCTTGTTGCCGTAGCGTCGCTGGGAGATGATGTCGCCGACCTCCTGAAAACCATCCATAGAAGGTGGGTCTTGCGTACGTCTCCCGGGAAAATCGTCATGTTCCGCTGGCGTGTACAGAGCCAATTTGGAACAATGAAAGACTCGGTAGACGGGCAAGTGGCTAAGCACCTGAATCGTGAAGGAAGGTTGTTCAGGTGCGTCCCCAGCGGGCTCAATGATCGGCCAAGGCCCCATCCATTTCGGAAGGAGCTTGCGAGAGATGTCTTGTTCAAGGCTGAATTCCGCTGCTGAAACCCAGACGAGGTCCCCGACGCGGAATGGACAAGGAAGACGCTGGCGATTTGCCTGCTGGCTCATGCGCTGCTGCGTCTTAGCCATCTGGTCGCGTGCCTTGACAAGAAGCTCTTGCATCTGACGCAAGAAAAGAAGATGGTCGTCGCTCTCGGCTGTGCGTGGAGTAATCGTGTCCAACGGTGACGTGACCGGCGAGCCGTGCTCGAACGCAAAGGGCGATATCCCAATAGCCGGGTGGATGGAAGAGTTGTAGGCCAACTCAACATCCAGCAGTCGCTCAACCCGGTCTTTCTGGTCGGGGCGGATAAGCGTGCGAAGGAGAACCTGTGCGGTCTGATGCGCCCTCTCCGTCTGGCCATCGGTCTGAGGGTGGCGAGCTGAGCTGGGCTTGAGAGATGAGCCCCATCGCTTGATGAGCACCAACCAAAAATCGGACATGAACCGAGTGTCGCGGTCGCAGACGATCTCCTTGGGGTAACCCTTGGTGCGAATCCAACCGGCGTACAGAACCTCGGCCAACTCCGGTGCCTTGGCATGATAGCGACAAGGCAAAAACATGGCGAACTTGGTGAGTCGGTCGACCACCGTGAGAATCCCATCCACTCCGGTCTTGTGCTTGGGGAACGGGCCGGTGATGTCCATGGCAATCGCTTCCCTCCGCCTCAACGGGACTGGCAATGGTCGTAACTCGCCGTACGGACGATGGTTGTGGGATTTGCAGCGTCGGCAAACCTCGCATGACTCGCAATAGCGCGTGACGTCGCCGAGAAGGCCGGGCTACCAAAATCGCTGGCGAAGTCGGCCAATCGTGCGATTGACTCCAAAATGTCCGGTAGCGGGAGCATCCTGAAACTCGCCAAGAAGCCGGGTACGCAAGTGAGGATCACTTGGTACGCAAAGAAGGTCCTTCCCCCGCGTGTGGACAAGCAAGTACCCCTCTTGGATCCGGTAGTGAGAAGGAGTCGGATTATGAGAGGAGCAATTCGCGTGCTTGTCGCGAAAATCGGGGTCGGCAGGGTAGCTGCGGATGAAGCTGTTCCGCAGGTCGTCGTCGATCTCGAAGGTTGAGTAGACCGCGGTACAGTGATCCGGACGCCGTGAAAGAGCATCCGCAAAATGGTTCGACTTCCCGGAAATGTGATCGGGGAAGAAGTCGAACTGGTCGATGAAAGTCATCCATCGAGCGATGGTGCTGTTGACGGTGCCCTGGGTCTTGTAGAAGACCAACGGATTGTTGTCCGTTACCCAACGAAATTGGCTTCGACCAAGGAGGAAGTGCCACCACCGCTTGAGCGCGTGGACGAAGGCGAGGAGCTCTTTCTTGCGTGCATCGTCGATGGAATGCACGAGGGGCACTTTCTTGCTGAAGTAGTCGACCGCGTGCCAGTCCACACCATCATGTTGCTCGAGGACTGCACCAATGCCATAGCCTGACCAATCCGTAGTGACACGAGTAGGCGCAAGCGGGTCGTAGATTCGCAAGACCTCCGCAGACAATAGCGCGACTTTGAGAGCGAGGAATGATCCCCGCGCCTCCTCTCCAAAGTCAAACGGCCTATCCTCGCACTGAAGCTTGTTCAAGTGGGCCGCGATCTTGGAGTAGCCTTTGATGAAGCGCTGATAGTAGCCGGTAAGACCGAGGAACGAGCGAACATCTGTGACATTCCGAGGCTCCGGCCACTCCTGGACGGCCTGAATCTTGTCCGATAGCAGACTGATGCCCTCTGGTGTGACAAAATGGCCCAAATATTCCAGCTCCTGCCGCACAAATTCACACTTGTCGCGGTTGGCCTTGTACTTGTTGCGGCGGAGCGTCTCCAACACTCGTCGAAGATGCCCCAGATGATCCTCCAATGACCGGCTATAGACGAGAATATCGTCTAAGTAGACCAGCACGAACCGGTCCAACATTGCACGGAACTCATTGGTCATGGCTGCCTGAAAGGTCGCCGGGGCGTTGGTGAGGCCAAAAGGCATGACCACCCACTCAAAATGCACGTACCGCGTCTTGAACGCGGTCTTGTAGCGATCGTTTGGCCGGATTGAGATTTGATGATATCCTGATTTCAAATCCAACTTGGAAAAATACTTCGCACCGCCCAGTCGCTCGAGAAGATCGTCGATGCGAGGAACAGGCCCCACATTCTTGACGGTTTGCGCGTTGAGCTTGCGGTAGTCGATGCACAATCGTAGATCCTTGTTCTTCTTCCCGACGAAGAGAACTAGTGCTCCATATGGGGAGCTACTTGGGCGGATCCAGCCCTTGGCAAACAAATCGTCGAGTTGTGCGCGGAGTACCTCAAGTTCCTCCTCGCTCATCCAATAGATGCAACCTTTCGGCGGCACGACACCGGCCTCAAGAATGATCTCGTGAGAGATCGGCCGACCCGGCACCACACCGGTAGGTGACTCGAAGATGTCGGCGAACTCGTCCAGCAACCGCACCACACGGGGGTCCGAAGACAAGTCCGTGGGTGAAGAGTCAGCTACCGCGACGGTCCGTAGGAAACATAGGCCGATCTCCTCGGGCTGCTCGTAAGCGCAAGTCGCCCGGAATGATTTGGCCGTCACCACTTGGCACCGGATCGAAGGGTGCGGTAGAGGAATAGTACACGCCACTTCCGCGCCGAAGGCGTCGCGAATGCTAAGAGTCCGCCGATGGAAGTTGACCGTGTGATCCCCACTTGCAAGCCAAGGTATTCCCAGAATGATGTCGAAGTCCGTATCGAGAATATCGAATGTTACCGGTTCGCATGCATGAGGTGCGAAGTAGACCGGTACGGCCTCGATGTAACGGTCGAGAAGTTGCTGCGTCTTTCCATCCGCCAACTGGATCGCCGTCGGGTTTGCCTTCCTTCGAAATTGTGCGCCAAGGCCAGCCCTTTGCATAAAGGATTGACTCATGAAGTTGCGAGTCGCGCCACTATCCAGCAAAGTGTTGCAGGATGCTTGCCCAACCTAGATGCAGACATACATGAGTGGTGCGTTGTTGTTATCGTACCGCTGTGTGCGGAACTCGCGGGCCACCTTGGTAGTGTACGCCAGGATGTCCCCCCCCGCGACTTCGTCATCCGTCGGCGAAGTTGGTGGTGCATAGAAGGATAGGTAAGTGTGGAGATGAGCACTAAGTGTTGCGCATTGCGGTCCCGGCAAACAGCCTGTGGTCGGGAGAGGAAGCCATGCAAAGTCCTCAGACGTGAGCGGGTCCAATGCCTCTATATTGAACTCACGGAATCCCGTGACGAACCACTTGAAGATGATATGTCGTTGTTGCCGGACGGAGAAGAAACCGCACACACTCCTTGTCCTTGAGCTTGAGTACCCAGTGTTGGAACGAGCCGGGCAGCATAGTTCTCGAAAGAAAGTAGAAGCAGAGGACTGTCGACTTCCACTTGCGCCTCGGAATGAAGGCTGGTTACTCGCGAAGAAACCAGTTCCGAAGGCGTCGAGAGTGTCGTCGTGTCACTCTCGGCGGTGCTTAGTTTCCCTGTCTGCCCTTGCCTTTGAATGGGCAACCCTGCGTCTCATGAAGATCGCTGTTGCACCAAAGGCAATAGTGGAATCTCTCGCGCGCCTTGTATGCGGACTCGGAGATGCCATACGGGGTCCATGGGCCTGTCTGAGCTGCTGCACCGGGTCGGGGCTAGAAACGGTGTGTGTCTTCGTCTTGCGGCGTCCTCGGCTTCTGCCGGGGCGGCCACCTTCCCGGGCGGCTGCGAATCTGTCCCCTTCACTAGCAAACACAGCCTCGCTGGTTTGGTCTAACGGCGCTGCTGCTGCGACCACGGCCACTCTTGGCCGATGCTAGTCCCTGCTCGGGCCTGACGCAGATGAACAGAGGTTTTTGGCCTCCTTGTTCGTGACGATGATCTGCGCAGCCTTGTCAAATAATTCCGCCGTCGTCGTCAAGGTGTCTTCGACATGCGTCAGGGCATTGCTCAATGCCGGATATGACCTTGAGATGAAATAGTGGCGGATGGCCTTGAAGCCCATCTGGATGTTTGGGACTGACGTCAAGCGTTGGTACTCGGCGATCCAGTCCGTACTCGGCAGCGTGCCTTGCTCGAAGACCATGAGCTTGTCCATGGCTTTGATCTCTGGCGGCTCCACCTGGAACCGCTTGTGCCACGCCGCCTTAAGATCATCCCAACTGATCTTGGTGTGCAAGTCGGCGGCTACCACTCCGTACTTGGACAACAGGTTGTCCAACCAAGCCTGACACGCGCCCCCTGAGCGAGAGTACAAGTAGGCGTGATGCTTGTGTTCCTTGACGTTGTGGAGCTGCAGTGTGAGCTCGAACTTGCGAAACCATGGAATTGGATCTGTCTTGATTGAATCGCGGAAGATCTCCTGCCCATCGAACTTAGGAGCTGACTCGCGCGGCTCCGGACTCGAGGTGGTGGCCGTAGTGCCGAGCCGCTGTTGCAATTGTTGCGTCGCGGTCTGCTGTACTTCCGCGCCATCCTTGAGTGAGCCGACATCCAACTCCAGTGCGTTGAGGCGGTCGGTAGTGTTGGAAGAGCCTGCGTCGGCGGCGGCGACTGGTCGCTGCTCCAACCGCTGAAGGCGGTCTTGGAGATGAGCAACCGAGTTGTCGAGACCAAGGATCTCCGCCTGCTGTGTAATGCAGGTTGCCAGGAGATCCGTGAGATACGAGAGGAGGAGCGCTATCTTGTTTGCGCTATCCTCCAACCGGCTATTCTCGGCCTTGGTTCGCCATTCTGCTGCCATGGTAAGTAACACCCGCTCTCCGGTGAATATCTTCTCACGACGCTGTGTTCTTTCTTCATCGACAACCCTTGTTGTTCCCTCGTCATGCTGGCGCTGTTGTTCAACCGCCAGCAGACGTGCCTACTCGGCATCCTCTGCCCTCTTCTTCGCTGCTGCGGCAGCGTCATCTGCCCGTTTCTTTGTTTCGGTACTTTAGGCCAACATGCGGGTTTGATAGGCCTCGTCTGTTTCTCTGGGCCTCTGGTCCATGACTGCTGTATGTGAACGCAACAGCATAGACCAGGTCGGGGCCTGCTGCTGTGGTATCCCTTGCTGCTGACGTGGCGCTGCTGACGTGTCCTGCTGACGTGGCCTGCTGACGTAGCCTGCTGACGTGGCCTGCTGACGTACTGACGTAGTCTGCTGACGTGGCCTGCTGACGTGGTCTGCTGACGTGGCCTGCTGACGTGGCAACTCACCAATGCCACCGCAAAGGGTACTCGGATACAAACAGAAACGGCAAGGCGAGAGATGGCAACAACATAGGTGGGGAGGGGTGGGTGGGATAATCGCCCAACTCACACTTAGATAAGGAGCCACTAATCAAAACAGAAAAATTCGAACTTTGCAAAAAAAAATTCGAGAAAAAAAAATAAAAATCCCAATTTTTTTTTCTTTTGCAAGTTCGGTAGGTCTCCCAATCTCCCTTGAAGTACGAAATGATCTCTGAAAGAGAAAAGAATTTCGACTTTAGACTGCCAATGATTTATAGAACTGAACGATAGTATCCTACAACTGCGAAAAAAATTCCGAATCAGAAATGATACGTATTCGAATTTATTCCGATTCGCAGTTTGAAAAAAAATAATACGCACGAGGTATTTCCCGTACCATTTTCAGAAAAACGAATTTCAGAGAAGAAAATATTCCGAATTTCTAAGTAACGGGAAATGCAACAGGAAATCGAGACTTTCGAAAAAAAAAATTCCGGATTTTCAACAGCGAAATTTTGAATTTTCAGAAAGAAAACGAAAATGGGAATTTCAGATGTTGCGATATTGCGATTTTTCCACTACAGAACAGCGAGAAAATAAAATCCGAGAAAAGAAAAAAAAATCGATTTTCGGTAGTAAGGTCAAGATCGTGATTTTGGGGTCTAACTAGTATGTCCTAATCAATCAACAAAGACTAACTAGCATTTTAGTCCCCGCAAACGTGTCAGATCAGGTTGTCCTGATTCACGTGCAAAGCTCCGATACCAACTGTTACATGCATAGATATGCAATGTACGTAATAACCGAGGAACTGCAATGTGATGAAAAGGACTGAATGGACAATACAGTGCGAGTAGAATCTCGACAGACAATGTGCATTCTCATACATACAAAAGGTGCTGAATAGCGCAAGGAAGACTTGATACAAAGACTGACCTGACAGGACTGACCTCATTCACATAGTTCAGAGTAACGGAGCAGAATGCTAGAGTACTACTAACTAGTCCAATCAATGTTTGAACTCAGACTAGACATGCATGGTATCCATCACCAAGTGTGAAGGAGCCTGACGCTGTACACAGGAAGAAAGTGCCAGGGCCAGACATACACAGACGAAGAGATAAGGATCAGACGAAAGGAGGGAGAAGGATGGGAATGTCGTTAACACCAAGTCTTGGTCACCAATCCCAAAT